TAAAGCTGTCAATCAACTGTCAAATGGAGCCTGAAGTGAAAAGTGAAGCGTTAAAAGCGGGTAGCGAAATTAGTTGGTTAAGAGAGAGTCCAAATGCGTCGGTTTGAACAGCTGAATTTTGCATACAGAAAACCAAAGCTCGACTTATAAACATTATAAGTGAAAAGCACAAATAAAAATTTGTATTCATTTAATTTTACTTGAGCTTTCCTTGTTCGATATATGTATTTCATTTATTTTTATTGCAGCCAAAATATTCAACGATTTTGTTTTAAGTAATCTGAAGAGGCAGGAACAAACAAGGAAAAATGTAAGAGTAACAAATCATTGTTATTTCACAAAAACATAAGAGCTTTAACATATTTTAGAAATTGAAAATATATAAATTTGAGATGACCTCTAGTAATTTTAAAAACTTTCCACGTGAAAACTATTTCGATGCGTATGTGACTTCTATGCAAGCTTTCACTTGAGCTTTCGCCTCTAACCATGGTAAAAGTTGCGCAACTTCCTATATATTAGCAGAAACCATAACTATTTTATCAGCTTCATTTCGAAAAGAAGTAAAGCTTCCATTATTTTGGAGTAAGCTTTCATGTCTAGAAATAAATTTAACAGCTTATGAATACTTCTACAAAAATACATATGCATCTAATAGCCATGACATGGGTTCGCTTGCAATGCGCCTACCCTTTTTTGTCTTATTATCTTCATCTTATATGATTGCCTCAAGAGAATGGCTTATCAGCATTAATTTCTTCGACATTTCACTAAAAATTTCAACATCATTAAAATCAATTTTGATTTCATAGCGACTGAGACGAGACGTCAATTCGTGCGTGAGCGCATACATCACCCAACACACACTCACATGTGGACGTGCATATGATCGTAAGTTGACGCGTGAAAGGTCAGTGATCAACGGCCGACCGACAGACAGGCTCTGTCGATTGGCTAACCTGGACATGGTGTGCTCAATTGGGATGAAAAGAAAAGCAAAGCGATTACTGGACTCATGCCTGTTCATAAAAAAATGTAGGTAAAAACGGCTTACGTTCACATACATCTGTGTGTTGGTGCGTAATTACTGTGCTGTAAACTTGACGATCAGTCAAAAAGAAAATAATAATATTCTCACAAAATAAAAAATAAAATGAAATGATGATCAGCGATGGCGATGGCGATGATATATGAGTGTATACCCATTGAATGGATGAATGTCAGAATACATGGATAATGTAACCAAACAAACGTATGGAGTTAATAGTTAGTGGCTGATGACTCCATGCTATGTGCAGAGAGAGAGCATGACAAAAGCGCGTGCTGCTATCAAGCTGTGATTTATGTACATATGTACAAGTATGTAATATGAACGTATGGATATTCACAAAAGTCCGTTGAAAGTCTGTAATTATGCGAAGATCCTCAATCAACTGACTTAATTTGCTTCACTCAGTGAGTAATCAAGCGTTAAGCTAACAGTATTGCGGAGCTATATATAAATTAAAGAAGCAGCGAAATAAAAATTTCTATTCCAAATTTTCACAGCAGTAACACCTGGAGTCATGTAAAGTGTAACTCCAACGAATTGGTTTAAATAGAGTTTATAAATGGAGTATTTAACATCATTTATTTTATGTAAAGCACTCTCATAGAACCTCTCAAATATCCGGGAAGGATATAATTAGAGAAGCCCTTCATCCATCCCTGGACAATTCTTTCTACTTCCAGATATTGGAAAAATTTGTATAAATTTGCGATTTTACTTATAAAAGCTTACGCTAGAATGACGTCAGCAGAGCGGCTTTAATTACCTTACCAATCATAAATTATCAAAGGGTCTATATAAAGGGTATTTAATACTATCTATGTTATAGAAATTACTCTTACAGAAGTTCTTAAATATCAGGGAATGAAAAAATTAAAGAAACGCTTCATCCATGTATCCTTGTTCAGTAATTTGTATGAGATTCTCATAATAAAAAAGCTTGTATAACACGACATGCATATTTTATAATTATTATACCTATATGCATTATTTAAATTTAATTGTTTCAAACATCAAAAGACTTTCCCTTAATTATGAAATTCAATATATTTGTTAACTGCTTCTACATAAATATGAACAAGTTCATTTAATTCCTGCATTTCGTATTCCGAAACTTATAGTGTGTCTATCCTTCCAGTTGCCCAAAGCAATAGTAAGACATTGAGCCAATTCAGACACTTTTCAAGCTAAAAATCCAATTCTGAATCATTGTTGTGCCACTAGGCCATTGTTGTTGTTTGCCTTCCTCCCGGCTATATCTCGACGATGAGCGCTTATAGGCTTCTTAAGACTTTCGGTTTTTCAACTCGTTCATTTTCAACTCTTCGTTCGGTTGTGCCATTCTGCGCCAACATTGATGAGTCCCTTTGGGAACCTTTTCACATAGCACACGGATTTCGATCACAAGCGCTTATGCGCGATCGGCGTACTTTGAAATGTTTATTTTTATTTTTAATTTTTTTTTTATTTGTGCTCTTTTGAAACGAGTGAGTTAAGCGAATGGAACGACAGGCGAGTGAAAAAAGCAAAGGTGGGGTAAGAGAGATTGCGAATAGGGCAAGAGGGGATGGAGAAGGTGCGGCACATGAGCGCGGTAGACTTTTGTGAAGATTTAATGATTGCATTCGAACGTTGGCTGTGCCTTATTTGCCCTTTTGGCTGGCTGACTGGCTGGCTAACTGTCTGCTTAGCTTTAGCTTTTTTTATGTTTGATTTCCCCGTTTTTTGTGCTTTTTTGTAACTTCTACTCGACGCTTATATTCAAGTTCAACTGACGACGGTCGTGGAATGCGAGCAGCAAGCAAAATGAATAGCGTTTTAATTCGATTTCCAGTAAGTTTCTCAAGGCTTCTTTGTACATCCACTGTATGTATATACATATATGTGTGTGTGTGGTTGAGCCATAACATTTTAAGAGCGATGAGTAAGCCGAGCATGTAATTATACCAACTGATAATGTGCCTCTTAACCTGTTTAGCTACAATTTAATTCTTTTTCGTACTTCTTCATTTAGTTTTTACCTTTCCTTTTTTTGTTAATCAAAGCAGCCAATTCGCCGCAGAAAATCCCATAAAACCAATGCCGACTGCAACAACAACCTGCCAATGTGAATTAAATGGGCTGCCAACCATTTGTTGGCCCATCAACAAATTAACAATTAAGCTTAGTAAGCAGCGGTAGCTAACGAATTAGCGGCCATAAAGCAAGACATCAATGCAAATAACTATGTTTTGACTTATTTTAGTGGCGACTACATGTGTAAATATATGGCATATGTGTATTCAGCTTGATCGGTCATTGACGGTTAAAAGCCCAAATTAACATAACTTTTTAACTACAAGTATATGTGTTAGTGTAAGTGTGTGTTCATAGGTGTACATAGCCCAATGCCTGGTGGCAGCCAGTCAAAAGCGCCGCCGCATTTGCTCGCATTATTTCATTGGTAGTCACAATAAAATCACTTCATTGCTTGTGAAGCACAAAAAATAATGGTTATGTTAATCGCGCGTAAATAATATGGTAGCAGTATATATTTTATATAAGCATATAAAAAAACACTTAAAATAAATTGAGTTGACAACGGAAATCAAGCAAGTAAAAAATTAAACAAATTTTGTATGCGTATTAGGGTGAGCCACAAGCTATTTTATCGAATTTATGGGTTAAAGTCAATCTACATACAGCCAAAAAATATTCTTGTAAGGAAAAATTTTTAGCTTAATTTTAAAAGGTGTCGGTGAACATTCAAAGCTTCCTATGTAAATAGCACGAAAAATATCGGTTTGCAATAAAAATGCTATAGTTTGTACCGTTTAGATTAAAACTTTGTTATTGTACAGAACATAAAATTTCCTAAAAATTTTACCTCAGGTGGACTTTTCCAATTAAAAAATTTGTTTATTTAAAAGCTTTAAAGAGTATTTAGTAAGTATACATACATATGACCTTTACTATAAAAAATTCACTTAGAAATTACCAATCCAACAAAAAATGCAATGAACAAAATATTGAAAAATTGAATACCTATTAAGTCTGCGTAACGTCAAATGCTTTCAGAAAATGTGATTTTTATGGACAAACTGTGGTCTTGCGGTGTCATTGTGGTTGACAAGCGGCGATAGCAAACAATAGTCTGCCGCCATAATCTTTTACAAATGATACAAAATAGTATAATATATCAGTCTTAAATACTAAAATACATATAAAGCGGCTTAACCGCTATTTATCGGAATTAATTAAAAAACAAACAAATTATAAAAGAAAAAATAGTAATATATGTAAAATAAGTGCGGTACAAGCGGTTAAATTTTTTATTGTTATAACTTGTGGTAAGATTAAATTTTCATATGTTTTTAGGTAGCAGTTAATCTCTATACATATGTATACACTGTAAAATATATTCTATATGGATATATGCTATATAGAGATATGTGAAACTAAGGCTAATATTATATTTGAAATTTGTTTGCTTATTTTTTTAATTTAATTTAATTTTTTATTTATTTATTTTTTTCTTTTTTTCCCCCATCAAATATTAACTTCTTTACGTATAAACACATATATACTACATCGCACATATTTCTCTCTTTCTTCCACTACTTCCTCTACACCTTTTCTGACATTTTTTCAACCTGTCAACACAAACCCAAAATTATCATAACCTGCTTCACAAATCTTTTTTCACGCTGCTATCACTGCCACCCCTGCACTTAAGTCGGCTTAATTAAAATGCCAAATATGTCGCGCTTGCGTAAATACCCAAATAATAAAAAATGTATGTAAATCCATTGTAATTTACGCTATTGTGTTGATAATGTTTTAATTGCGCGAATTGTTTCGAGTTTTCCAATATTTTAATGGCGCATAAAATTCACAGTTAAATAAACAATTATATTGCGAACAAAATAATAATAATAAATTACACAAAATAGTAATAATAAATTACACTTACTTGCAAAAGGAGTGTCCATTGCTTTGTGTAATGCACGTGCCGCCATTTTTACAACCCACAGATAAGCATGAAGAGCCTGCAAAGAAAACAGATAAGAACAGAATTAAAAAAACCTTTTTTATACTCAATTTTGAACATTAAAAATAAATACTATTTTTTAACAAATATAAAATAATTAAAAATAATAATATTTTCGAAAGTAAAATAAAAATTGTTTATAAAAGTGTATATAAATTATAAATAAATAATCATTAATACTTTATAAATAATTGTTAGCGAAATTTAGAAAAATAAAAAACATATTATTTTGAAACAAATTTAATTACAACAAAAGGTAGAATTATTACTATAGTATTTTCGAAATTAAAACAAAAAAAATTACTTCAGAATAAAATGTATCAAAGTGCTAAGAAAAACAAAAAATACTCAAAAACCGAATAATCTAAGCCTAGCTTACAATAAATCTCCGTGTATACTGCCCCTAACCTGAAGCAAGTATAGCCCAATTCTTTTTTTGCGTTGATTTGTGGCACACACTCAGCTATAATGACAACTGCCACAAATTCAACTCGACATTGGCGTTGCATGCAAAGCAACAACAATTGCGGAGATTTTGAGATTTTCATGTGGCAACTCATAAATATTGCAACGCGGTCGACAGTGTCAAAATGAAACGGTGGCAACGGCGCCGTCGATTAATTTTGCAATTTTCGTGGCACAATTACTAAGCCATAATGGCGGCGCGACGGCAACAATGACTTGCAGTGGGCAAATATTAGACAATATTTATATATAGGAAAACAACAACAACAAATAATGCAAGCCACAAAGCGCGAGCGGCCCTTATTGTGCACAAAGTGAAATAAACACGCGTTGCAAGCGAGCATTTGCAAATAAAAGTTCATAATAAATAACACAAACGAACATGCAAGGAGCGTGGAGCCGACAAACAAAAACAACGGTCTGCCACATACCGCCGCAAGTACGTGTGGTATCTAATAGGCGGCATTAAGCGCAGCTGTGTGCTTCTAGGAAGTGGTGCAGCCCGTACGTAACCGCTTTGGAGTGAGCTGGGGAGTAGGGGGGGGTTAACACGCAGTAGGTGCGCCAGCCGAACAATAAATACTGACGTGACATGGCAAATGTCGTTAAGATTACGTTTCATTATGGAAGTTGGAGTGCAGTTTGAAGTCGCCAACGAAGTTTGGCTTGCTTATAGAAACACACATAAAGGGGGTATTTGTTTGTATATGTGTGCGTTAGGCGAGTTAGGAGCGCACAAATGGCTAAGAATATGTGCGCATGCGCGGAGGACAAAAAAGGCTTGCGTATTATGTTGATGTTAAAAGCAAAATAAGTGTGAGGCAATAGCGGTGAAATGCAATACTCGCTGGTGGTTATGTACTGAAGGTAAAAAATGCAAAACAAAAATAAACAGAATATTAAAAAAATAAAAATAACAAAAATTAAATTTAAAAACATCAAAAAACAAAAATTTTTAGAATTCCATTTCGAAATACGTTTAGTACGAAATTTATAGTGCAAAACAAAATAATATAAAAAATTTATAACAAAAAAAATCAAAAAGAATTCAATTTACGAATTAATGCGAAATTTAGGTACAAAGAATTGCAATTAGGATACTTAAAGTCTCAAAGCACTTCGTTGTATGTGGCACAACGATAGGAAACGTGCCATGTGGCGCGTATTTGGGTTAACAACTTTGCGAAATTTCTAAAGAAAACACAAAACCAAGGCGATAAAATAAGCAAAACATAAACGATCGTAATAAAAAAATGGGAGTGGAAGCTTATACGCATACGAATGCCTCAAACTCTCCAACAATTCGTCAATTTCAACTGTCAAGTACAAGTGCGAAAGCGCCGGTTTTTTCTGCCAAAACTAAAGAAGTATGAAAACAATGCTGAATATAATGAACTGAAAATAAGCAAAATGAATCACAGAGTGTAAAAATTTAGTTACACACACATACATTTACGCGTCTCTGTAGACTGGAGCGAGCGGTGCCTCAACTACCTGTCATTAAAAGTGGCTCAGCGGCAGCGAACGCATGATGCCACACTATAGACAAGTGAAAACAAGTAAACCTACTCTGCAGCACACAAATACAAGCGCAAATATGTATAATGTTTGTGATGCTCTGCTCTTCGTCATAATCATCAATTTCTTGAAGCGCTCTTTTGAACTCGAAACGCATGCGGCCTATTTTATTTCGCTTGCCGAACTCACACCGCCATTAAATACATATTAAAAACCATTGCTTATACAATGCATATATAATAGAAATACAACACACACGCACGCGCATGTGTAGATATGAAATCCAACGAAGTTCGCCCATTTTTACCTTTCTCACAGTCTTAAGCGGCTCATTTTTGCCACATAAATACTCACTTTGTTGTATTGTGTACGATGCTTACTACCTTCCAGCCAACGATCAACATGCAAAGCGGTTAAAAGGGAAATAACGCCACCACAACCAACGAGCAACATCAATAACAACATGTTGTAATAACTTTTTAATAATAAACAACAACAGAAGGCAGAAAAAGCAATAACAAATCTACCGAATGAGCATAACCAGAGCAACAAAAATTACAACAATAGCAACCATGTTTCAACTTAAGAAAACGCAAGAAAATAAATAAGCCGGAAGACAAAGTAACAACTCTTGTAAAGGGCTAAACGCAATGTGTAGGTACTGTGGACCAAAATGTTGCATGAGGTGAGAGAAATACCTAAAAAATTTCGTGAGTTTATGTAAGGAAAGAAAACAAATTTCACACATTATATAGTTTCTTCAAAGATTTTTGCTTACTTGAACCCTATGAAATCTGTTTCCAATATTAGTAGTTGACTGTACCGTAGAATGTCCGAGGAAGTCTTTTGATTTCTGTTTATACAGAAATAGCAACATTTTTAAAAATGCAATGTTTCGTTGCGACTTTTTGAGACTTTCATAAAACAAAGCCTAAAGCTTTCATGAAACAGAGCTCTAAACCTTCATAAACAGAGTTTGAAGCTTTCGTGAAACAAAAATGTAAAGCTTTTATTAATTAAAAATTTTAAGTTTTTATAAAACATATGTAAATTGAAGCTTTCATAGAACTAAAACTCCAAACTTTCATTAAAAAAACTAAAACTTTCATTAAACAAAAAGTTAAAGCTTCCATTGAAAAATTTTAAATGCTTTTATAAAAGAAAATTTAAACCTTTCATAAAAAAAACTTAAGGCCTTCATAAATTAAAAAAAGTTAAAGCTTTCATTAAACAAAAACCTAAAGCTTCCATAGAAAAAAGTTGAAAGATTTCATAAAATAAAATGTATAGCTTTCATCAAAATAAGTTTAAAGCTTTCATCGATCCAAATTTAAAGCTTTCATCAAACAAAGTTTAGTGCTTTTATTAAATAGAACTTAAAGCTTTCAAAAAAAATAAGTTTAAAGGTTTCATAGAATAAAATAAACTTTAGAGGTTTTATTAAATAAAATTCCAAACTTTCACAAAACAAAGTTAAAAACTGTCATGAAATAAAAAACAAAAAAATAATATTATAAAGGTTTTAAATGTTATAGAAATTCAAACGCGTGTTGCTGCACCGTGCAGCGCGTAATGATGAAAGCCCCAACCAATGCGCAAACTTGCGCTGAGCAACTACAGGGCCAAGGGCTACTTAGCAACATCGAAGATCGACTCGCCCTACAATTCAATCATAATGTAATTTATTATGGCAACATGTGAGCGTAATAACAGCAACAACAACAAAGAAATATAATGAAATCATAAATAAATATGCGTGTATGTATGTATGTGCTCGTATGATTTCACAAGGGGAACAAATGAGCGAAAGTTCAGTGTACTGCCTTTAACAACAACAGAAATAACGACAACAAAATAAATGGCATTACAACAATAACAAACAACGTCTGATTATGTTACGTTGTCGATTGTTGATGTTTTACCGGTGACGACTTATTCGAACAGTGAAATGCTGTCGGCAGCGATGAACAAGTCCAACGCTCTGTAACAACAATGCAAAAAAAAGAAGCAAGAAGTGCGTGAAGTGAAAAAATGCAATTCGGAATTGTTGCCAACGAAGTGAAAGAATTTCTGTTGTTGCCGACACACATTGCACCACCGCTCACCGTTTGATGATGATGCATTGATGTCGAAAAGTGTACGCTGAAATTTAAATGATCTCGTTCTACCGAGCATCCACGCTTGTTGTTGTTTTCTTTTCACGGTCACTTTGTACAACAACATTGCGGCAGCATTTTAAATTGATGTTCGCTCTTTTAAATGACATTAAATTAGGCTGCTCGTTGTTGTTTGCTGTTCCGTTGACAGTCACCGCTGTTGGCTGTTGCAGTTGTCGCTGTTTGGCTTGATTGGCTGTTGTTTGTTAGCATTCGCTGCTGTCGTGTCAACCTATGCCACTGGCTTTTGATGCAACGCAGACTCTGGTTGTTGGGGTGCTGATGCGTCCGCAGAGCGTGTTGCCATTGACAGCTCATCGTGTTGGGAGCTGAGGTGCTGCTGACCAACGTGTTTGCAACACTTTGCTGCAACAACATTGCTTGCCACCTTTTAGCCTGCGGTATGACAGCGCACTGATAAATTCTTAATGATGATTGATTTGAGAAGCAGTTTCGCCGCTTTTATTTGGGGTCAGAAGTCGGTAGAAAGTGGCAAGGAAACAAATTGGTGGTGCTAATTGGAGGAAAAAGCTTATTAAGGAGAAAATCGCAAAAGAGGCGGAGAAATGGTAGCGCCTAATTGTTGATTATAAGCTGAGTTTTTGTTTTATAAATGTGGCAGTGTGCAAGAGTGAAATAAATACCAAAATCGGGTAAAATAATATTGGAACAATTTTTTGAAAATTTATTATTGTTATTTTGTTAATTCCTAACATAAAACTAAAAATAATTCGATTTGAAAAATTTTAAATAAAAACAAGTAAGGAAGGGCTAAGTTCGGATGTAACCGAGCATTTTATACTCTCGCAAAGTCAAATAGTATACTCGTTTGAGATTTCTTTGTGGATTGACTGATATT